CTGTCCTGGAACTCACTATGTAGACCAGGCTGGTCTTGAATTCACAGAGATCCGCCTGCCTCTGCCTCCCGAGTGTTGGGATTAAAGGCGTGCACCACCACGCCCGGCTAAGGTGCTTTATTTTAAATTATGTGTAACATGTGTGTCTGTGTGGGGGTTGTGCATATGAGTGCAGGTACCCACAGAGGCCAGAGAGGGTGCTGGATCCTCTGAAAGAGCAGCAAGTGATTTTAACTGCTGAGCCATCTCTCCAGGCCCCAGAGCTACCTTTTGACTAAAGAGTCTCTGTAGGGAAATTGAAATTGCAATGTAAAACTACAGGATTCTGCGGGAATTTAAAAGTTTGTGAATAGGGAATAATTTAAAGGAGTAATAGCAGTTCATTAAAATAACATTAGATGACTTTTTAAAATGCCCATTATTTTCAGCAGAAAAGCCCTCCAATTCCAAGCTGTAGTATAGCAAATATAGTCAGGAATTCAGTTTCAAATGGCCATGGGTGGGTGGGGGACCTGGACGCAAGGTAATGATGTGTGTAATTTTAAAATTTCTATTCTCTTTTAGACTATTATTTACAAAAGCAAAGTAATGTGGCATCTGCCATTGCACTGAGAAAGATAAGGCAACAGGTAGGGCTAGCTTGGGCTACAGAGTAAGATACTATCTCAAAAAAAAATAAGGAAAAAAACCCTATACAACAAACAAACACAAAAGGTAATATGTCAAATTAAACACAAGAGGACTGGGGAGATGGCTCTGCAGGTAAATGTACTTGCCACCAAGCCTGATCAACTAAATTTGATCTTGGAATCCACATGGTGAAAGGTGAGAACTGACTCCCACAAGTTGTCCCCTGATCTCCACAGGCACACTGTGGCACTTGTGACCACACAATAAAAATAAATAAATAAATACATAAATAAATAAGCTAGGTGTGGTGGTGCATGCCTTTAATCCCAGCACTGGACCAGCCTGGTCTACATACTGAGTTCCAGGCCAGGCAGGGCTACATAGTGAGACTCTGTCTTAAAGAATTAAAACAAGCCAGGCATGGTGGTGTGGCGCATGCCTTTAATCCTAGCACTTGGGAGACAGAGGGCAGAGCTCTGTGAGTTTGAGGCCAGTCTGGTCTACATGGCAAGTTCCAGTCCAGCTAGGGCTACATAGTAAGACTCTGTCTTAAAGAATTAAAACAAGCCAGGCATGGTGGCGTGGCGCATGCCTTTAATCCTAGCACTTGGAGACAGAGGAGGGCAGAGCTCTGTGAGTTTGAGGCCAGCCTGGTCTATATAGTGAGTTCCAGGTCAGGTGGGGCTACAGGGAGACCCTGTCTCAAAAAGACCAAAGGGGAAAAAAAAGAATCAAAACAAAAACAATAATAAACAAATACACAAAAGAAGCGTATTTTAAAAGAGCAACACAAGGGCCTGGCACACAAATGGCACCCAGTTCTGCCAGCATTCCTTCCACTTGGCTGCGCTGGGGAAACAATATCTCTGAGACATGAGGGAGAGTGTTAACAGAAATGAGAATCAACTCACCTGCAATTCAGTCATTTTCTCTTTCCTTTTCTAGAAAAAGGCAGAGACCTGGGAAGGCAGAGCAGGGTGAGGGAAAAGAAGTCATGAGAGAGAGAAAATACATCTTTGTCCACTGAGCACAAGATCCCTCCCCATGCAGACACACCCATCACCTGCATCCGGTACCACTGGGTTTTTCTGCCCTAGGCTGGGCAAGAACAGGTTGCCCTTACTTCCCACTGGGCATTCCCAGCATGCTCACTCCCATCCTGGGAAACATGGGAAAGGAGGGCAGGGAAATGCATTACAAGTGGTGTCAAGGGACAAAACACCTGTGTTCAGAGCTGGGTGCTGAGTTATGATGGCTCAGCAGGTAAAGGTGCTCGTCAATAAGCCTGATGACCCAAGGATCCTCATGAGAGGAGAGAACTGTCTCTCCCAGGTTGTTCTCTGACTTCTATATGCCTGTAGACACACAGACATACAGACAGACACACAAAGAACTTGGTGCTATCGTATACCAGCTGAATAACCATGGTGAAGTCATTAACTTTCTGAATGCCTCAGTTCTGCCATCTATAAAATGGGGACTAGTACAGAGCCATGACACAGGGCTGCTGGGAGTCTGCTGCAGTGGTGGAGGGCTACTGTGTCAGTACCAAGACTTTCCACCTGAAGAACTGCCTTATGAGGGACTGTGGCCCTATGAGGGACTGGGCAAGACATCTGGAGGCAGGGGTCACTGCTCTGCCCAGGAAGGCCTTTAACTCTGGTGTCTGCACCTCAAGCTTCTTACTTAAAAAATTACTTTTCTTTATTGGGAGTACATGCCACCAGGCACATATGAAAGTCGGGGACAACTTGTGGGAGTAGTCAGTTCTCTCCTTCCACCATATGGGTCCCAGGAATCTGTTACAGAGTTTAAAACCACTGGGAAAAATACCACCAAACCCAATTTAAATTTTAATTGGTCAAACTTATTAGGGCTATAGCCGTCCGTGGTCCCTTAATCAGATTTAGGACCCTCAACCCTGACAGGAGGGTGAAACTAGCTTATAAAGGCAAAAAACAGAAATACCATAGGAATTTAATCATTGCACATGAGTAATGCCAGGTGGTCCTGAGTAGGGTCAGGATGGCCCAAGTTAGCAGATAAGCTAACTAGAGAAGCCAAAGCACGCTTGTGTTAGTCCTTAACAGATGTATAGAGACCTTGACAGTAAGGCACTTTCTGATTACTATTGTTTTTTAGGCTTCTTAGCTAGGCCAGAAGCATAGCTGCTGTGTCTGGGAGGTGACCAAAGTCAGCTACTCCCAAGAAAGCACTGTTCTAAGGGAAACAACTAAGTTCAGGCACTTAACCTTGAAGCTGGCTGTTTTTCTAGCTTTTGAAGTTTAAAGTGGCTGCTTTATACAAAATGAAGTTCCTTTGGCTATTACAATTTGGGGGACTCCATTTGGGGCCATTATAGATCAAACTCATGCTCATGTTGTCAGCCTTGGCAGCAAGCACCTTGACCTGCTGAGTTATCACCAGTCTGTCTTTCCTTTCCCTCCCTCCCTCCTGCCTTCCTTCATCTTTTTCTTGCCTCTTTCCTTTCTTTCTTTCTTTTCTTTCTCCTTCCTTCCTTCCTTCCTTCCTTCCATCCTTCCTTCCTTCCTTCCTTCATTTTTGTTTTTCTTTTTGAGACAGGGACTCCTTGTAGCCACAGCTGCCCTGGAACTCCCTATGTAGACCAAGCTGGCCTCTATCTCACAGAAATCTGTCTGCCTCTTCCTCCTGAGTGCTGGGATTAAAGGTGTGCACCACCATACCTGGTTTTGTTTTTAAATTTTTTAAAATCTTATTTTATGTGTAGGAGTGTTTTGCCTGCATGTAAGAATTCATCGGAAAGCGCTCAGGAAGGGGGCTGACCTGGGGGCCAGTAGAGACCAGGAGCTTAATTTTGTGATTTTTTTCTCAAGGTTTGCTAGCTTATTAATGTCAGGTAACTTTTTTTTTTTTTTTTTTTTTTGAAGCAGGGTCTCCCTGTAGCCCCAGCTGTCCTGGAACGTACTATGTAGACCAGGCTGGCCTTGAACTCACAGAGATCCGCCTGCCTCTGCCTCCCAAGTGCTAGGACTACAGGCGTGCACCACCATGCCCAGCAATGTCAGGTAACTTTTAAGGCCACCTGTGGAAGAGGGACAGGGAGGGGCACTAAGGAAAGGCACCTAGGAGAGGCCTGCCTCTTGAGGACTCTGCCCCCATCTGAGTCCTGCCACAGCAGCCGCTGCTATGCGATCCACAGAATGTAAGCCCAACTCTTAGAACAAATATTGGACTACTGAGATAGTTCAGCAGGTGAAAGTGCCTGAAACAAAACTTGATGACCTGAACTCCACATAGTGGAGAGAGAAAGAACCGATCCCTAAACATTGTCCTCTGTTCTCTGCTTGCACACCATGACACACCAAATAAAAAAGTGCAATTACAAAAAATATTAACTTGATTGCATAAGCTTTGTGAAGAACTGAGCTTTATTTCCCTTGGGCAATCTTTACTGATGGCCTCCTAACAGTCCCCCGGAAGATGCTGGCCACAGTGTTCACAGTATCCTGTGGGAGAACATGGAAGGGGCCCCCAAACCCAGGCTTGATGAGGGACAGAGATGGGTGGGCTCACTGGAGAAAACCAGGGCTGATGTGCGCCCAAGAGGACAACTGTGAGAAAGAACTCAGCAGTAGTAGAGACCCAATGAGAGCCAGGGTCTACTAGCTGTCCTGGTCCTCCCGCCTCTGCCTTCCAAGTGCTGGGACTGAAGGCCTGCACCACCACACCTGTCAGAAGAGCAGCTTTTATAAAATCCCCTAGGGGATGAGTTTGCAGAGAGCTAGTTGCACACAGACTACAAGTATTGACAAAGCAGTTTGCAAGCAGAGCCTGTAAAGTCAAGCACTAGGCCCGTGGTCTCTGAAGGGACCTGCCAGAAAGGTAAGCAGGAAGCAACGTAGGGGCTGGGACCCAGGCTTCCTGATCCCCAGCTCCCACTTCTGGAGCTACCAGGAACCAGAAAGTTACAGCTCAGATGCCTTTGCAAACACACACTCAACTGGAGGAAGGTTCCCAGTAGAAACCTGCACCATCAGCTCTTTTAGACGGCGGCTCAGTAACCATATGAAGAACATTTCTTAAATTTTTATTTATTATTTTTTTAATATTTATTATTTTTATTTTATGTGTATGAGTGTATTGCCTGCATGTATGTGAGTGCACCCATGTGGTGCAATGCCATGGAGGTCAGAAGAGGGCTTCGGATTACCCTGGAACTGGAGTTAAGGACAGTTTGCAACTGCCATGTGGGTACTGGGAATCGAACCCGGGTCCTCTCCAAGAGCAGTCAGTGCTCTTAACCGCTGAGCCATCGCTCCAACCCCTGAAGAACATTTTAAAAGTAAAATGAGGGCTTGGGGATGTGACCCAGTAGGAGAGCCCCTGCCTAGAATCCCCCAGTGAGGGGCTGGGAGCGTGGCTCAGTGGTGGAGACCCTATCTAGAAGCCACCTTTAGAGGGTTAGGGGCATGGCTCAGGGGCAGACACCCTGAGTTCCAGCCCCAGCACTGCAAAAATAAATAAATAAATAAATAAATAAATAAATAAATAAATAAATAAATAAATAGTTGGGGAGATGGCTGTGGGTGGGAGTGCTTGCTGCACAAGTATAAGGTCCTGAGTTCAATCCCTAGCACTCATGTTAAGAAAAAGCAAAAGCTTGCATGGCTGCCCACTGTAACCCCAACGCTTTGGTGGGTGGAGACAGGAGATGGCTGGGGCTTTCTGGCCACCAACCTAGCCAGGTTCAGTAAGAGACTCTGTCTTAAGGGAGTAAGGTGGACAGTGATAAGAGCAGGACACCCAGTGTCCTCCTCTGGCTCATGAATGCACTGGGCGCAAGCACCTTCCCACACATGTGTACATTACCCCGTGTGAGCAACTTCCTCCAAGATAAGACATTCCATCTGGAGGGCAGTTCACCAAGACACAGGTCTTCTAAAAGCCATGTGCAGGCAAGTTCAGAAGTAAACTGGCCACAATAGCTTCAGGAAGTCTCTGAAACTGACCAGGCTCACCAGGTTCCTCCTTCCCCAAGCACATATAGCCCTAAGGACAGCTGAGAGACCTCTCAGACCAGCGGAGTTGCCTGGCCAGGACACTTTCCAGTCTGCTGAGCTGCCCACAGGCTATGCAGTGGCTCCAGGTTTCCTGCTTTCCTGAGCAATGTGCTGGGGTGGACTTTGGTGATGTAGCTGACTTTGAGTCATTTCTGCTCCTGTAAGTGACCCATCACCCATATTTCTTTAATTGACCCCAATAAACTCACTGCTTAGCCCAGTTGGATTCTGGTAGTGTCCTTACTTCTGTCATTTGGGTCATTTGGGGTGAGATGTTTGCATCTCCCCAGGAATACACAACATACAACACCACACACACACACACACACACACACACACACACACACACAAATAAATCTGATTTCAAAAGAGGACTAAGTGAACACATCAAAGCATTAGAAAGCTGGTGCTATTCATATTAAACATCCAATAAATGTTACGGTTACTACCATCCACACTGTCACTGAAATTGAGTCCACACACAAATAAATCTGATTTCAAAAGAGGACTAAGTGAACACATCAAAGCATTAGAAAGCTGGTGCTATTCATATTAAACATCCAATAAATGTTACGGTTACTACCATCCACACTGTCACTGAAATTGAGTCCACACATTAACCTTCATTTGTCTCTAAATAATGTATTTATTTTAATGTTGATAATTACTAATCAGTACACATCACTCTTTGCACATTCTAGAAAAGCTAGAGGCATTAACATTTCACTAAACTCCTTGGAGATAGGGACCAGGAATGTTCTCTCCCGTGTTTTCAGAAAAAAAATGAGTACAGTCTCACTGAATGGACGCACGGTCCCCATTTCCAGCCCCCTGTTGGAGAGTGACCAGACCACAAACAGGGGCCACAAGTCCCCTCTTCCTATCCCTGGACCTGGCGAGAGGCATGATGGGAACTC